CTGCCCCTAGGTTGGTCAGAACCTTTTTTTTTTTTTTTTTGGATTCCATGTATATGTGTGTTAGCATACGGTTCAAATGCCTTTTTGGCATTTACTGAGATGACCATACATTTTTCCATAATATTGATACTTTTGACTAAATCATCTTTATATATCTGGGATAAACAATATTTGATCAAGGCTTAAAATGATTTGAGTAAGTTTCTATATTTTATTGGCATCATTTTGATTAAAATGCCCATATCAGTGAGAGGCAGTATGGCATAGCAAGTGTCTGAGTTCAAATCCAGCTGGACCCCATAATCACCCCATGTCTCTGCATAAGTGGCAGAGACAACTAACTTTGAATCCTGGTTCTGCCACTTAATAGCTTTGCTAATTCGTTACTTTGGATGAGCCTCACTTTCCTGTTCTTAACGTGGGGACATAATGATATTTACCTTATAGAGATTATTGTGAGGATCAAATGAGCTAACTCGTGAAAAATGCTTAGTACAGTGGCTGGCATGGAGTAGTTCCATAGTAAATGGCTGCTATTATAAAGATCATATGCTTAAGTGATAATAAGCCACGGTTTTCTTTTTTATATCATTCTTATCTTTTGAATCTATTCTGACATTTTTGTATCGTTTTTATCTGTATCATTCTTACCACATTTCCCTCTGAAGAGAATTTTAAGAAATATACCATACGTTTCAGTACTCAAGGATAATTTGTATAACATATCCTTCAAAGGCTTGGGGAAGAAAATCACCTTATAAATCCATCTGGCCTGGGTGTGTTTTGGAGTATGTGAGTCTTTAATATTTCTCCTGTTTTCTTCTGCGTTTATTAGAACGTATTCAGATAATTCTGACAGTTTTGTCCAAGTGAAAGAAAAATATGAACTTCAGAAATTTTCTCTGCAGCCTGAGAATGTTGATCTAGTCATTATCTATGTTTGCAATGATTTCAAGATGCAACTAGTTATTGGATGGCCTCATCACTCCTTCTGTAAGACATACAGTCTGCATCATTTTACAAAGGGGTTACCTTGGAAGCTGACATTTATTTGACTGTCTAAACCTTTTTAAAAATGAAAGTCTGCTGTCTTTTTTTCCTGTTTATCTAATCAGAACCTTTGTGTGAACCCCAACCCCCCAATTCCCAGCTCTGAATGGAAAATGGAAAAGGCTTGTCAGAAATGGATGAATAATCAGTGTCTGTAGCCCTTCAACCACCCTTAAATAGCCAGAGGCTTCTGTATGGAGTGGCCACAAATGATGTCGTGGGGCTGCAGGCTGTGGAGCCATTGCTAGAACGGCAGCAGCAAACAGGACTATTTGCTAATGACATTAGGTGGTGACAATAATTCCACAGGTTCAAAAGAGAAAGGAGGTGCTTCACATTTTTGTGCGTAGCACGACCCTGCCCGCATGTCCAATACTGTAGCATCAGTTGACCATCTTTGAAAAAGAATAATAAATGAGTTATGTGCCTTCGCAGAGGAGTAAAAACATAATTCTGGTAGAATAAGTTGAGAGTTCAAAAGTCCCTCAAAACCATGGGGCACTGATATCTGAGAGCGTTTTACTTTTCATCATCTTTAAAAACACAGCAACATTTGTTTGGTGATGGATTACAATAATCCTTTTGTTACTAAACCATTACATAACTTTTAGAATTCTTTCCTGTATCCATCCAACTTAATTAGATTTATTGGAAGAACAGGCCACTTGAGAGGCTGCTGCGTCCTTACCTACAGTCTTAGGTTTACATCTGTATGTGTGTTAAGACATAATGAGAGTACATTCCCTAAGTGTATTTAAATGTTTGCTTACCTGCTGTATTTGACTGGCTGCAGGGAGAGGGACAGGAGTGAAAATTTAAATCCAAGTAATGTGAAGCATTGACCTTTGAAGATCCATTAGGAGCAGTGGTTCTGAGGCTATCCCAAAATGCAACGAGAGAAGTGTAAGTTATTCAGAGACTATAATGTACATACATTGTTTTCAGAACTCATCTAGTGGGTCAGTGAGTACACAACTTGATTTTTCCTGGGTCGTGACCCCAATCACGCCAAAGGAAAAGAGAAGAAAAGAAAACGTTGTCTAGCTCTACCCACTCCAACTAAAGTGGAAAGTAATTCCAAGGTGAGTCTACCCCAGAGAGCAAATGGGCCCTTTTAAAATGCTGAGGGGAGGGGACAGCAATTTCCTACTGCCTTTGAAAACACTCCCTAATGACCTGGTGGCATGGAAATTTGCCTAGCTTCATTTGTCACACCACCCTGGATACAAGGGGGACAGTTTACCAGGCTCAAATTTGTTTATAAGGTTGTTCTCCCCTTCAGTGTGGAAAAGAGAGAATAATAAAGTCTCATTTGCAACTTTCACTGGTCAGAAATTTCCAGCAAGAGACAGCGTTGAAGTTGTGCTATGCCGAGAACCAGCAAACTGACCTACTTGTGACTTGAAATTTATGATAAAACAATTATTTCAGCCATGCAATAACAACAAAATCAAGCCAGCTTGTGTGGGATTAGGGAAAGCCAGAGTGTCCCACAGGAGATGTGGTTTGCCACGGTGGGCAGAGGTAAGGGAACCAGTGTTGACCCAAGTTATGTTTAGCATAAAGACTCCTTTGTTGACTCGCTGTGATAACAGTTCCTCATTTGTTAGATCATTGGGTATAAAGTTATATAATTCAGCCTTGCCCTTCTCTCCAGCCTACTGTGGTAGCCAACACCTCCTACTTTTAGCTATGGCAGTTCCTGGACTGCAAAAGCCATTTCCTATATGTCAGCCAACTTTGACTTTTAGAGTAGGACAGGTCATTTGGCAAGTTGGAAGGGAGGTGGGGAAAGGTGGTTAGGAATGAAAGTGTCTTTTTTCCCTTTTTTCAAATAACTAGAAACTCCTGCCTTCTGTTTGACTTATGCTACGATTCTACCCGCTATTACAAACCTATCAGACACCGCCCCTGCACGTTGTCCTGATAACTTTCACAGTGTTTGTCAGATGCCACAAAGGGTTTTTCTTAATTATTTAAAGAGCACCAACTGCTCCTATTATCCCACATTTAACAGTGATTGATTTCTTGCCTAATATCAGCTGGAGAATTCTATTTGGATCAGTCGGGCAGATTTTTTTAAAACGTAATGAGCCTGAGAATTCACTCCACTCTTCTATCTCACTGCTGCTTAAATATCTCCTGTAATGTTTTTGCACTTTCTGCAGAGCATGTAGAACTCTGTACTGGGGTAAAGCAGTTCATTGCAGGAAAGCAGCCCATGAATTGCTATGAGCTTGTCACTGAGGATCCTGCATATGTATGTGTTTTCAGCTACAACTGTCCTCCTAAGATTAAATAAAAGCATGCGTTTATTATTGTGGGTCTCCAATTAAGGGACAGCTGGTGTTCCTATTACACTTGCATTAAATCAAAACTTGTAATTTAGCTATCCAGATGTACATTATTTTAAGTCAAAATATATAATTGCATTTTCTTTGTACATTTGTCATTCAAAAGTATCTGGTACCCTACCTTAGGGCTCCTCCTACCCTTCAAACTCCGTTAAAGAGGGGGAACTATTCGCACAGATCAATGATTCCCTTTCTGAGGTTAGCGTCTTAAAGGGAAATAAAGGATTTATAGAAGGGACAGGACCCAGGAAGGCAGGTGGTGAGTATTGGTGTGTATATAAATATATATTTTTTGCCTTCAGTGGACCGACATATTTATTCACTAAGGTCATTTTTGGAATTACCTAGTTCACCTTACCTGTATCCGAAGTGACTATAAAAGTACAGCTTTGAACCACACTGCATTTCTCATTGGCACTTCTGTTCCTGCAGCTCTAGAAACTTTGCTGCCTCCCTCCCCCGCCCCCTCTGGGGCTGTGTGCAAGCTCTGTTTGTTCTCGCTTTTGTAAAACCTGAGCCTTATGATTTGTGCCCCCTCCCCTTCCCTTAACAATGAAATAAAAAGCCTTTGCAGCGGGGGCTGGGCCGGCGGGTTGGGGGGAAAAGGCGCCACACCCCCTGAGAATAAAGCCCGCGCTTCGCTCCGGGAGAACCGAGCATGAATGAACGAACCACACAAAGAATATATTTGGCGACGGAACAGCGCCCTACAGGAAGAAAGTGCCCGCACTCAGAGCGGGATCCGGCGCGCGACTTTTTGGCGCTCTCCGGGAGCAGCGAGAAGTAGGCGGAGGACAGAGAGTCCCGGGCTGGGCGCGGGAGCGGGGGCAGCACGCAGCCCCATTCCCACGCGTCCGGGGCTGGGAGCGGCGCGCGCCGGACCAGGTGAGGTCGGCGGCGGCGGCGGCGGGGCCGGTGCGTGGTGTGCCACGCTACCTGGCCGGGCGGGGCGGGGCCGGGCGGCCGAGGGCGGCAGCGTGCCGCCTCCCAGCCCGGGAGCGCCCGCGCGCCGCTCCACTGCCCGGCGGAGTTTGGCGGGAGTTGCCGTTCGGGCGCCCGAAGCCCCCTCGCCGGCGCCATGCCCTCGGCGCGCTGCGCGTGTGCCGGGCGCTGGGCGCGGCGAGGGCCTGCCCGCCGCAGGGGCCTGGGCCGCCGGGTCAGCGGGCGCTGCCGGGGGCCGGCGGGCGGAGGGCACGCCTTTGGCTGCGGCCGGGCGGGGTTTGGACCGGGGTTGCCATGGCAGCCGCTAGCCCGGCCCGGAGCCCCACGCCCGCCTGCCGCTGGGGAGCCGGGGAGCTCTAGGTGTGCTCCAAGTGGACTAAACCAAGCGCTAGGGAGGCGCGGGGAGGGCCGGCCCGGGTTCCCCGCTGTTCCCCGGCCCGCCGGCCGGCCCCGGGGAAGGGCCCCGAAGTAGTCGAGTAAAAGAAAATCTTCTGGCCTCTGGGCCCGAAAGGAGGCTCGCCAAAGCACGGGGCGTGGGGGGAAGAGGGGATCGGAGGGATTGTCGCCTCCGTCCTGGAGTCCCCGTGTGCGTGTCTCTCGCTTGACATTTTATACCCCACCGCGGCCGACTCGGAGCCGGGTTGCCCGTCCCAGCCCTGAAGTTCTGTAGGTGGGGCGGGCTTTAATTTGCTTATATCTAATGATTTCAGGAGCCTCGCTTTAAAATGGCGGCATTGAGTATCCACCCCTGCTAGAGGCTCTCCCGGCACCGGGGCCACCTCGCGCAGCGCTGCTTTTGCTTCTGCCGCTAACAGATGGCATGTGCTGCTGTCGCTGCCGCTGCCCCCGCCGCTGCCGCTGAGAGCGGGACCCCTTAGGCTCTGGGTTCGCAGTAGCAGCCGAAGGTAAGGATGGCGAGGAGTTGGGGTTGGTGAGCGTGGCTGCCTTCCTAGGACGCCGACGAAATCGAATGCCTTTTAAACTTTACTTTTCAAAATGGCAAAGAGAAGGAAAAGTAATCCTGCAACTTTTTGCAATTTTAGGGCTTTGATCTGTCTTCTTATTGTCCTGCTTCCTTCTTTCTTTTTTCCCTTTCTTTTTACTTCTTCTTCCTTTATATATATTGCATATATAACATATATATAATATACATTTTGTAATTTAAAGGAACTTGCATGGCATATTATCAGCAAATGCTTCTAGCCACTCATTTCCCCGTGGCCATGCGATATCGTGGGCAGTGCCCCAGCTTTCATGCTGAGCCCTGTCTCTTGCCGCTCTGGATCAACACATTTGGGCAGCTTGCTTTTACTACCGGCATCTGAAGGGCCTGAAGGTAGATTTTAGGAGACTATTGAAAAGGTAACTTTAATTTTTAGCGTTCACACAAATAGCTCTTATGGTCAGAAAATGAAATTAAATCAAGACGAGCAACCCAAGTTAACATTCAGGTGATTCAATTGTGTAGTTTTATCATTAGTAGACCTACTGTGTGTTTTCTGACTATTGATTGGTATAGATTGATACAACAGTGAGGGTGAATTTATTGTTGCTGTAATTAAGGTAGTGTGTTTTCCAAAAGTTCTTTTTTCTTAGATGTTCCTTAAATGCTAGTGTTTATGAATTGGGCATGGATCCCCACAGCCTAACGCTACACATGTATTGAGTTCATGGGAAACCATCAATTAAAACAAAACTATTGCAAGATTTAATTTTGAAATGGTTGATAATTTTTCGCTCTGTTGACTCCCTGGTTTAATGTCTTTGGGTGGTTACTGATATAATGGTTGGAAAGTAGACTGTTGAAATAGCTGTACAAAAGACTAGACATCGGTGTTTAATACAATTGACCTGAGGTTTTTTTCCCTTTGATGAAAGGCATATTGTCAATGAAGCTTAACAGAGACCTCAGATTTTTCTAGTTACATTCACATTTTCCATTTTGCCTATGAAAATCTAGTCCTTAATGGTTTTTTAAAATAAATTTATTTATTTATTTTTGGCTGAGTTGAGTCTTTGTTGCTGGGCACGGGCTTTCTCTAGTTGCAGCGAGCGGGGGCTACTCTTCGTTGCGGTGCGTGGGCTTCTCATTGCAGTGGCTTCTCTTGTTGCGGAGCTCGCACTCTAGGCGTGCGGGCTTCAGTAGTTGTGGCTCGCGGGCTCTAGAGGGCAGGCTCAGTAGTTGTGGCGCATGGGCTTAGTTGCTCTGTGGCATGTGGGATCTTCCCGCACCAGGGCTCGAACCTGTGTCCCCTGCATTGGCAGACGGATTCTTAACCACTGCACCACCAGGGAAGCCCCTTAATGTTTAAATACTTTTAAAAGTTGTTTAAAAAATGTTTCTCAATATGTAATACTTTGGGGGGATGCTTTCATATTTATTGAAACTTCCCTAAACATAGCCTAAAAGGGCTTCTGCCCATAGCCCAGCTGATACTATTCTACCTCTGTCCACTTTCGACTTCTCCCAAAGCAGTAGAAGCTACTTGGCTGGCAGATTCTCCTGTTATTAAATTAAGCAAGCTTCTGGGGAGTGGCGGGGGGAAAAGAGATTGTTTTGCACTTATTAGAAATGGTGCAGTTTTCCTGCCCAGATGCTGTAGTGTGCCTAAAAAGAACTTAACTGTTTCCAGTGGAGTTACTATGTAATCCGTTTTGCAGATTATTGTTGGGAGAAGTGTTTGGGGCAGTTCATTGCTTCACATCTGAAAGGAGAGTTCCTCCTGCAGGTAGAGAAATAGATACTTGCATTTTTGCAAGAGAGCAGGGGTGACCAAAAGCAGCTTCCCACGTTTTTAGTGATTACATCCTTAGATTTCAGCTCATGAAGCTTTGCTTCCTCATGTGCTGCCTTGTTGCTGAATGACTTTGGACCAAATGCATCCTTAAAAAGGGGGTGCTGGGGTGGGTGCTAAACCTTGGGCCCAGAACAGACAAGCTGAACTAGTGTCAGAGACATTAGGAAGACATTTTGCCAGTTAAACATTCTGCGGCTTCACATAGTGATGAGATTGGAGACCTTGTGTGAAAACAGGTGAAGGAGTTTGTCAGAAAAAAAAATATTTTGAGAGAGAATTGATATAGTGCTGGGCTAGGAGTGGTGACTGAATGTTTCGCTCTATTTCTAAGAGCTACTTCATTTCTCTAATTTCCTTCGCTGCTTTAAGCCCTCATAATGATTCCCAGGACTATTATAAAGTCCCTTTTTTCCCTCAACTGTCCACTGAAGGCATTTCACAACAGCTGCTTTTTAAGGGGGATAAAACCTATGATTCTGAACTGGTATCCGAATTCTCTTTGGTAATCTCCTGAACCTACCTTTTACCTAAGCAATGCTTTGCACAAATTAGGTGCTTAATAAATGTGGAGTTAAAAAGAAGAATGAGTAGTCGGTAAACTCACAGAGGAGCAGATTTCGTGCTCAGCTTTTAATTTAAACAGAAGATTTTCTGTTTTTTGTGAGCTGGCAAGAACCTCAAAATTTGAAGTAATTTAGAACAGCATTCCCCCTAATTGCTTGCATTTTATTTGCCTCAAATGGGTTCTCTTGCTTCTCACCGCAGTGCTAGGCACTTGTGTAATTCATCCTTCTGACCAGTAGGTGTATTATTATCTGCCCAGCTCTACCATATGAAAAAGTAATCACAGCAGCCTGGGGAAGAAAGGTTTTGTCTTTGGAGGCTGTACAGTACTGCACAGTGCTGGAACAGTGGCCATATGTGGGCTGCTGTTCAGATGCTGACAGTGTAGTCGGAAGTACAATTTTGTTCTCCACCCAACTGTCTTTATATGCGAGACGGAAGGGAAGGAAAGAAGAGAGTGAGAAGCCCTAACGTGATGAAGATTTTCCTTCCGAAAAATGTACACTTATCCTGCTTAACAGCGCAGTCAATTCAGGAAGGTGGCAGAATTGTTCTGTTTCGAAATAAATCACGTTGTCTGATAGGATTACAAACAGGGATTGGGGCCTAGCAGACAAGAATAAGTTACAGTCCATGTTTGACAAGTAATTTGATCCTGTAATTAAAGTTAGATAATGGTCACTGCCATGTTAAAACTATCAAGTGTCTGAAAGAGCAGTCAGGCTACACTCACCTTGACTTCGTTAAGGTGCTTCCATACAGTTGAGTTTTCTTATAACAATGTCTAGTAGGGTGAACAGATGGATTTTTTTCCCATTATAAATGTATGTGATGTCAAGAAAGTAGATATCAGTTTTGTTTCTTTGGGGGAATTTTCTGCCTCTCCCTACGTGTGACGCAGTTCTCGATCCAAAAAATAGAAAGAAACCCGTGCCTCAGATAAAATGAAGTGGGCATTTTTCCTCTAAGAGAATAAACTGTTTGGGAGCAAGTAGTTTAATTGCCAACCAGCCCAAAACAAACAAATACAAATTATGATCCAAAAGAAAGCAATTAAATCTGTATTAATGTAGGCTTTTAGATCTTAAGGAATCCAGATGGTCTGTGGCATTCTGCTCTTCCTAAATGGTTATATATTGCCTCAAGACAGCCAAATGACAATGTTGGAAAGGCAACTTCGAGAATTAGAATAAATAAGTTATCAGTTACATTACCAGGTGTTAATGACATCCATGTGACCTAAAAGGGGTCAGAAAAGTTTTTTTTCCAGATCATTCTAGTAAAGACAATATAAAACCATCATTTACTTCTACTTGGTTTTAAATAGAGTGACAGTGTTTTTAAAAGAGTGATGGAGAAATAATGCAATCTGGGAAGAGGGACCTTATTTTTATTTGAGAAATAAAGGTACTCCCAAATTGTCTGGACACATGAAAGCACACACATGTGCACACATGTGCAAACTAGTCTTCATTTTACGACAATTTATACAGCTGGGCATTGATTTATTCCTGGAAGATTATGGGAAAAATACCTATTTTTACAGCAATCCTCCAACTCTAAGAATGAAAGAAAAAATGCTTCTTTTTTTAAAAGCATTCATAATAAATGCTTGTATTACATGATTCTCTCTGAGGCTCTGTATGTTCAACTCCAGTCAGTTAACTTTCAGAGAAAGGATACATTGATCACAACTCAAGAGGAAACAGAAATGAAAGGAAGCTTGCTTTAAGCACGTGTGTGTGTGTGTGTATATATTGTAAGTGAATATACATATGAATGTATATAATATGTACATTGTATATAACATGTATGTTGTGTATATTCACATACGTATGTCACACACGTATATATATATACTTTTTTCTCCCTCTATATGTATATGATCCTATTCAAGAAACTCAAGCATAGTAACCCCAGAACTCTTTATAATAGCCATGAGAACAAAGTGTTAAGGGGTAAAAAGGAGACCAACGAGAGATTTAGGAATCAATTAGGCACGCTTGTTAAAATATTATGTCCACTCTTAAGTCCTTCCTCCATCAGCATTAAGTTGGCTCATGAGTAGAAGGAGTGCTTTGTTTCTGACGTTAGGCAGGAGTTCATTTTATGCCCACACAGTGGGTGAACTTGAGGGGCCCAGAAGTGAAGGGCCTCCAGTTGAGAAAGGCAGTCTGGGCAGAATTGCAGGAGGTTGGTATTAGACTTCCAGCAGGCTCTGTGATCTCCTTAGGCCATGGGGGCATCCTAGGGACTGACAGTTTGGCGGATCTTGTTTTCCAGTGTGGATCACTCAAATTAGCTTAAAATTGTCCCCAACAGTTATTCTTTGAATCTCGAGCTTCTTGGCATTGCCCGCAACTGGTGTGGAAATCTGAAAATGGTTTCTAAGGCTTATTCAGGTTTCCTTGAATGTATGAGTAACTCCTTATTAGGCAAGTTCCTGGGTCTCCTTACCTCATATCACTAGTGCCTGGCACATACTAGGCTGTCAGTAAAACTTGGTTAAGTAAATGGGAGAATAGTCTTTCTAACTTGTTCTTTTATTTTATGAACAGCCTTCCTGTGATTTCAGGTAGCGTTATCTATTTTTGATTGACAAAAAAAAATTAACCCAACAACAAACAGAATATCCTGCTGGAGGCGTTGATAACAGCTCTCTCACAAGTCCAGGGAAAAGCAAGAAATGGCAACCTTTGGGCTGAGACCTCGAGGAGTAGCCTGAAAACCAGTTGCTCTTTTTCTGTCACCTGTAGTTGCATTTAGTATATCTCCAGCACATCCCAGAGAAATCAGTCTGCCACAAGAAGTTATGTAGCAACAGTCCTTCAAATCATTTCACCAGATAAAAAAAGGAACAAAATCAGAAATACCGTGACTCAGATGCCTCGTGTCATGTATAGTTTAGAAAGTGATGAAGTGAGACAAAACCCAAAAAGGACACTGAGAGCTGTCTCATTTTCAGTCAAACACTGATTGCCCATTTAGAGGGTGAATTTG